TGTATGCATTTATATAGAAATTATGTGCAACATTTGTTCAGTTAAACTTATTTATTGTATGTTATTCAAATATTTACTTAATTTAATGGCTTTCTTTTTTTATTTTATTATTTAAATTCACTGGCGATCAAACCCAAGAGCATGTTCGACCTTTTATTACTTAAAGTAACATAACTTTTTAAATAATGAGCGGATTGCTTTGAAATTTTCAGCAATTTGTCCTTATTATCTAAGGTATAAAGCGTAGTATACAGAAAAATTAACAAGTGATTCACAGCAAAAACGCAAGGCAACTCTCTTCACTCAGTTTTGAACTTTTCTGTTTTGAGATTTTAGGAGGTATACATATATCAAGAAGATTGTGGAGACTCCTTTGCTTTTAATAGCGATTTTCATACGTCTGGGAATGCTCTCTACTCTGTTTTCTGTGGTTTGGCTTGGAAAATTACCCCATTACAATTTTACTCGCCTCCAAAGCTCTTCCATGTTACTGGAGCTCGCTTGTGCTATGCTACTCCTCTCTTGATCACAGCGCTCAATTTTTCGATAGCTTTGAGGTCTGGGATTTGTGCTGGCCACCATGTTAGACATTTTTCTTGGCATGGTGTTTTTGAAGATGCTGATGAGGTCTTTCCCAAAAATGTGCGTTTTTATCGCTTTGGAAACAATTAATTTTCGTTCCATTGGACCATATTCCCCCTTTTCAGTCCAAAAGCTCCAAGTCTCGTGACTTTTACAAAATTTCAGTAGCAGCTTAATAGCTTGGGATGTTTTACTTACTGGCATTTGGCGCCATGGGTTAATATAAAAGGTATAATGAACATATCCTCCAAAAAAACTTACAAAAGCGGAAAACCTGCGGAAGAAGTTGTTTGCCAGCAGGACGGAGATCCAAATGGTTCTGAAAATATTCGACACCGAAGGCTGCTTGAGCAAAATTTTCACGTAATGCAGTGGGCAGCACAAATCCCAGACCTCAACGCCATCGTAAAATTGAGCTCTGTGGTCAAGAGAGGATTAGCATAGCACAAGCGAGCTCCGAGTAACATGGAAGAGCTTTGGAGGCGAGTAAAATTATAATGGGGTAATATTCCATTGCATTCCGTTGCATTCCTTCATTTTAGGTAAAAATGCAAATCAACTCCTGCCATGATAATTCAAAAATTTAAAAGAAAACTTTGAAAAACGGTTGCATTCCTACATTTTAGATAAAAATTACATAGGAATATATGTGGGTCCAGCCAGACCGATGTGTTCCGAATGTGATGTATTAATCAACATGTCTATATATCTAGCTTTATATATATGATATATGTGGGTCCAGCCAGACCGATGTGTTCCGAATGTGATGTATTAATCAACATGTCTATATATCTAGCTTTATATATATGATACCGACATGATTTTTTACAGATTGTTAGTTCACTAAACATTAGTAAGCTACCTGTAATTTCAATCCTCTAGCTATATTTAAAGTACCTTTTTTTTGTAATTTGAAAATGGAAAAGGCCTGGCTGGGCTCATGTGTCAGACGAAGGGTTAATAAAATTGTATTATATATTAAATTGTGTGATTGATTTATCTATATTATTAGTTATTATTAAGCAGTATTGGTCTTGTCCCACCCGTAACAAAAAAAGTAAAAGTTGTTATATTTAATTACAGAAGTTGAAGTTGTGTTTCGGGTTTGTTACATAATGTTAGAACTTCATTGTCAATGTTTACCACAATTGCATTTTCGTTTCCACATAGTTAGATAAGAATAATTCAACAGTCAATCATGTCCCACCCACAGTTGCCAGAGGTAGGTTTACAGGGCTGATAAGCTTTATTTGTTTGTTGAGGTGGATGCAGGGGAAAAGGGCGGATGCGCGGACTGGTAATGACCTATATACCCTTGTGGTCAGCTGATTAAGTTAAGTGATTTTTTTGACCAGTTCTGGTTTTTTCTTTTGTTTATTTAATGTTTATATTTTTTTTTATAAAAGTCTAGCACATTACATAACCAGAACCACATAAATCCACATTTCAAACTTCGTACAAAAGTTATAAATTTCAACAAATTTTAACAGTTACACCCAAAAATTTTAAATTCTTTGTACATAATTTTTAGAAAAATTCTAGGTATGCAGTTTTATAGCTTATTTAATTTAAGTAGGAAAAGGTGAAAATTCAAGATGCTAGGAGATAGCGTTGATTTTTAATAATTTTTTTGGCTGACGGTGCTAAGCTTTTTCTTCTATATAAAAGGCACTATACTAAGATAAAACGTGAGTGAATTGAGCCCCTACTCTAGAAAAGCACTAATATATATATATTTTTTTAATATGGCTGCAACCTGTTAATAAAATTACTATATTCCAATCCTAATAAGCGTAGGCATCAATTCTGTACCGTCACTGTGAAACGAAAAGACTTAGCCTCTACATGCGCAATAATGTATTATTCTTCTGAGTAGGGTTGCCACCTATTCAAAAGTTAAAAGGTTTTCGTCGTTCGTTGGATTAAAAAATGAGGTACCAAATAAAAGTGCATGCCCTTCGCATGTACAAAAACTTTATTATTTTTTAAGTAGGGTTGCCAGCTATTTAAACTTACTATCTTCTATACATAGTAAAAGGAAAGTTGAGATATTTTGACCACGCCATTGAACGGATTTAGACGAAATTTTTTAAGTATATTCTGTATCGATAGGAATATTATCTTTAGTTTTATAGGGTTGCCACCTGTCTAAACAATTATAAGACCCGCACTGTTCATTGGATTACCAGAAATGAGATGTCAAATAAAATGGCCCGGCTCTTAGATGTTCAATAATGTATTACTTTTTGAGTAGCGTTGCCAACTATTTAAAATTTACTATTTCATTCGAAGATGGTATGAATGCAAAAAGTGAGATGTGAAGTGAAAAGGCTTGCCTCCAGATATTCAATAATGTATTACTTTTTGAGTAGGTTTGCCACGTTGTTAAAAATAATAAGATTTTCAAAGTTCATTGGACTAAAAAATGAGGTATCGAGTGAAATAAATGGTCTCCGGATAAGCTTTTATCTTTTTAATGGGGCTGCCACCTATTTAAGAATTAATACGCAACATACAATACGTCAAAATAGTTTTTTTTTAGGTGCTGTATTCTAAAAAGCGTAAGGAGCTGATGCTTTTTTGTTTGCATATGTGAGCATGAATGTATAGGCTACCTTTGTTGGGATTTCAGTGAGAGACAGAATTTATAAATCAGCTGTGCCTACTTTGATGTTTTTATTTCATTAGGTTCACGTACATATCGCACACTGCCTTCAAAACAGTCACAACTCAAAATAGTACGTTTGTCAGAAAATGCGAATAACTATTTCTTAGCACATGACAATCATATGGGCAATGGCGACTTTACCTTAGGTTTCTTAACAAATGATAACAAAAGTTTTCTCCAGCTTTTGCTGAAAGGTAAATAAAAGCCCTGTGTACATTTTTAGCGCATAATTTCAAAAATGCCAAATTTTTAGTTGTGACCCTTTTGAAGACGGTGTGCGATATGTACAAGTACTTTAGTATCTGCATATGTATGTATGTACATACACCCACTATAATTGTTCTTAAGTATTCAGTCAAAAATATTAGAAACACAAAATTCAAATAAAATACGCTTACTTCGATGTTTTTGTTTAGTTTCTTCGCGTATTTCTTTCCTCTTCTCTCCCTGGCTAATTTGAATATATGTATGTACATCTATACATAGTATAAAGGAAAGTCGATATTCTTTGTACGCGGTAATCTCGAGAACTGCTGAACGAATTTTGACGAGATTTTCTGTAATATATTCTGTATCGATAGGTTGCCACCTGTTAAGAAAATTACTATATTTAATTCTAATAAGCGTATGCGTCAGTTCTGCACCGTCACTGTCAATGAAAAAGACTTGCAGCCTAATTCATAAAAACTTATGAAATGTTTATAAAGACTTTATCATACTCATAGCCGAAAACATTATTCATAAACCTTTTATAAAGATAAAATACTCTTATAAACTTGATAAATTCTGTCAAAATTTATAGTGAGCATGAACCTTCTATAAGCTCATTAAAAGACAATTGTTTCAAAAAATTTGGAACTGTTAACATAATATACAGCAAAATAATGATCGCGATTGATGCAATACGTTTGATTGACGATATTGGTACGTATTTACATACATAGATGTTACGTGTTCATGTAATTCCACCTTGTCCTAGATCTTCTAACGCGCTCTACTCGCAAGGAAAAATCTTTCCAGGAACGAAGAGATCCATTTCTATTGAATGATGAGGAGTTTCGTATGAGATATCGCTTCTCTAAAGGTGGAGTGGAAAAAATTATAAATTTGGTGAAATCTGATATTTCCCTTGATAAAAGAGGCTTTGGAACTTCGCCTAAGCTACAAGTTCTCGTGGCTTTACGATGTTGGGGCCGCAGAGAAGTAATATTTTGAATTGCAAATGCTTTTACTTTATATTACTTATATAATACAGGTTCAGGGTGATGCAGGTGACCTCCATGGTCTAAGTCAGGCTACTGTATCCCGCATCTGTGTTAGGGTGGCAACCGCTCTCGCTAAGCATGCGGATAATATTATAAAAATGCCGGAAACTTTAGCACAGGAGCAAGCGCTGATGAGAAGTTTTAAGGCTGTGAAAAACTTCCCAAACGTTATTGGCGCAATCGATTGCACTCACATTAAAATTAAAAAAGTTGGCGGAGATATATCCCAATACTACATAAATCGAAAAGGATATTATTCATTAAATGTCCAAGTGAGTAATTTTGATTACAATTTGACTATAGAAACAAATAAAGAGAAATTGTATAGGCAGTATGTGATGCAAATCTAAAAATACGCAATATTGTTGCAAGGTGGAGAGGTAGTACTCACGATTGTCGCATATTTGACGAGTCATCCTTGAAAGCGAATTTCGAGGAAGCAAAGTTTAAAGGGCGATTGCTTGGCGATTCAGGGTATAAGCTCACACCATATCTATTCACACCCATCCTTAGGCCGCAGAATGAAAAAGAAGAGAGATACAATATTGCGCATATCGGGACAAGGAATGCAATAGAAAGATGTTTTGGCGTTTGGAAGCAGAGATTTCGTTGCTTACTAGATGGCATGACTGTTTCCCTGCAAAATGCAAAAACACTTATCGTCGCACTTGCAGTTCTACATAATTTTGCAATCGTTGAAAACGAAAACACGGAAGAATTTGTTAACAATATATGTATGTATTACAAATAACAAAACTTTGAAGATATACATAGATATATATATATATACAGGGTGTTCCCCCTGTCCATCCATCCCTTTTAAAATAGAGGACATGTTGTTTATTGGAAAACGCAAACAAAAATGGGATATATGTACAGGTTTTTACCAAATAACGGGGTGGATGGGTGGTCTAGGACATCTTGTATATTTTTGTGAAACATACATACATATGTTTCAGCACCATGCAATAATGCTATGCTAACACCCGACCGTTCACGTGATGAAATACCCGAAGGAAATCCAGCAAGCCAGAGACGAGCAAATATTATACTTAAAATGTTTATTGACAGCAATTTTTAAATTTCAAACAATACGCCATATAATTAATTAAAAATAACATATCGCTAAGAAATATTACTTGTTTTTTAATTTATTTTAACTTTGCTTCTTTTCATAAAATTCGCATTGCTTTTTTAGAATTTCATATTCCAAGTCCAAATTCCTTTGCTTCTTCCTTTCAGTTTCCATTTTCATTACATGCAACTCTTTCGTACACTTTAAGTTGCAATCCAAAATCATTTTTGTTGCTTCTACACCTGAAGGCTTCTGAAAAGTTTTATTTACATACAATTACATCTGTGACTATAAGAAATAACAGCTTAAGTCGAAAGGTAGATGTATTGTATAACGATTTTCCGTCATGCCTTTTCAAATTTGGGTTGTCTGTTTTGCATCGGCGTTGTGCCATCGCCACTGTCATGAAGATTCGTTTGACAATACATCAGGGTAGGAAACCATGCCGGAATCACCACCAAGCCAAGAGATAATCGATATGTAGACTTTAGTACAATGTGCCTTTCGCATGGTACACACATATGCTTGCGAATGTGTGCAGGTGCTATTTAAATACTATTGGGTGGTTCACAAGGTGTCGTACTTGGTAATTCCAAGATTCCCATCAAGTCTCATCAATGCTTTAGCTTGGGTAATAAAGATCACGGTGCTTTATTCTAATGTCAACCTTTAGTCACTAGCTGTTACTCCTTATACACATGCTAGTATATGGTTCAGCCTTATCGCCAATTCAATGTGAATAAATCGTTCCTATAATTTAAGGCAAATCAAAAATAAATTGGGAATACTTGTTTTTGCTTTGCTATATAATTTTTGGAAATATTTGTTCACAAGAAATTCGCAATAAGGGCCACTGTTTTTATCAAAGAAAAACGGCATGTTACCTGCTTACGTTTTTAGATGCCCTACTAGTATTAAGAGATGGTGTCTTTATATTTTCAACATTATGTTGGCTAGAGCCAACGATGTCTGTTTCCTGCATTACCTCCACTGCGTCTGCTTCGATATTACTTTTTTCGCATCCCTCCAATTCGGCGCTATTTTGTATGGGCAAGGATTCTTCCAATACTACAACCTGGAAATATATTTAAAATATGCAATACATACTTATGTACATACATATAGCATATCACCAACATAAATGCAGAAACCCGTATCTAACATCGTCACGTCACAGGCAAAAAGCCGTAAATAATAATGTTTTTCTTAAAACGATTTGGCGACTTATAATTCGATGAAATGCATCATCAAAAAGTAAAATTAGGATTTTTTGTTAGTTACGGTCTTTTTCTTTCATGTAACAATTTTATTTACGGCTTTTTGCATTTCCGGTGACGATATGTACGTATGTATAAATAAAAGTTGTAGTAGTAGCGAAACGATGCCACATTTATTATTTTGCTCTTGGTTAAGCCGAGATTTTGTTTAAATTGTGGCGCAGATCTTGACAATGTTTACCTGCTGACTTTTGTCCGAATCAAATGAATTGAAGTCGACAACAAACTCATTTGGCAGCCAAACGGAGATGTCTTCGTTTGATAATGGTTCAGCAACAGATTGCGCCCCACCGCCAGTTTTCAAAAGTTCACGCCTCTCTTTCGACTTCGCTTTTTTTGCCGTCATTTTCGCAATAGTCCACTGTGATTTCAATTGGATCACAGTTCGCTTAGTTGCACATATCTCATTGAAGCTGCAAGACAAAATGTTGAGCAAAGGATATTTCCCAAAGTAAAGAAATACGTATGAACATGAATATTAAGTTGTACGTACCTCTCTTGTAAGTCTCTCCAGGCCTCTTGTTTGGACTTATTTGAATTTGTATCCGTGTTCTTATTTTCAATAATGTCCACCCGTTCACGAACTAATTCTTGAAGCAAAGCCTTAAAAATTATATTAAACACAATGAATTATATTTTACATCCACACAATTAGGCATACCTTATCTTCCGCAGTCCAATTATCCCCCCTGTTCCGTTTCTTTTGCTCCATTGCTAATATAACTAAAGCGCTTAGTTAAATTATATTTCCAACAAATGAATGTTTATATTATTTTTTTCAACTGACTGAAAAGGTATTGACATTTTTCTAGCCAAACTTGCCGTATTTTTTTGGAGTTTTGATACCAAAGGCTTTACAAATATTTTGTAGTTACAAAACTACGTTTATATTACTATTTACTATTATACGTTTATAAAGCATTTTAAGTTTTTTTTATGAATTAGGCTGTTAGCCTCTGTATGTGTAATAATGTATCATCTTTGTGAGTAGGGTTTCTACCTGTTTGAAAACTATAAGATCTTCACCGTTCGTTGGTTAAAAAAATGAGATACCAAATGAAAGTGCATGGCCTTCGCATGTACAAAAACTTTAAGTTTTTTGAGTAGGGTTGCCACATATTTAAAATTACTTTCTTCTATGCATAGTATAAAGCAAAGGCGAGCTATTTTAACCACGTTACTGAATGGACTTAGACAAGTTTTTTTATGTATATAATAAACGGGGTACATGATGACATATTTCTTTCTCCAAATACGTAAATGTACATACA